GCAATCCTCCCACCTTGGCCTTTCAAAGTGCTGGGATGACAGGCATAGGCATGGCCTCTGGCCAATAAGCATTCTTACGTAGCATTTACTAAGTGCCAAGTGCTATCTCAAGCACTTTTCTGGGGACTGCATATGTTTATGGGAAAAAGCCCACGGCAGAGGCCCCAGGAGACAGGCCTGCCTGGAGGGCTGGGTTGGGAGTGAAGAGCAGGCCCTGTCAGGACCAGGGAGCCTCCAGGAAAGAGTCCCTCCTCCCAAGGGTGCAGAGCTAAGGCTCCTGCTTGGTTGGAAGGTCCAAGGGGCATCTGAGTGGCAACACTGTGACTGTCACTGGCCGATTGTCTCGCCTACAAAAGGCTCTGTGACCTCCAGCAGGTCAGAGAAATGAAAACTACTAATAAATTAAAGCAGTCATAGGCATTTGAGAACGGGTCAGGCAGAGAGGCCATGCGCTGCAGGCACAGGAATAACAGCAGCCTGGCCGGTGCTGACAGCCAAGGTAGGCAGCCCCTAACTGCCAGAGGCCCGCTGGTAACCACCATTGTGGGCACAGTTCTGGGTGCTCGTGCGTGCGTCGTGTGTGTGTGTGTGGTGTGTGTGTGTGTGTGTTCGGCATATGAATTTTTGAGATACCTGGATCTGATCTACGGGAGGTATCTGAGAGGTACTCAGCCTCCTCCTGCAGAAAAGGTGGGGACCAGACCAGGAGAAAGTAGCTTTTTTTTTTTTTTTTTTGAGATGAAGTCTCCGTTCTGTCGCCAGGCTGAGTGCTAGTGTGCCGGATCCGCATTCACCTGCAAGCTCTCCTCCCGGGTTTACGCCATTCTCCTGCTCAGCCTCCCGAGTAGTGGAGCCTGCAGGCGCCCGCCACCTCGCCCGGCTGTTATTTTTGTATTTTTTAGTAGAGATGGGGTTTCCCGTGGTTAGCCAGGATGGTCTCAATCTCCTGACCTCGTGATCCGCCCATCTCGGCCTCCCAAAGTGCTGGGATTACAGGCTTGAGCCACCGCGCCCGGCGGAGAAGTAGCATTTTGTAACTTTCCACCCTGAGTGAGCAGGAGACAGTCTGCACAGAACAACAGATGTGTGCGGGGATGTACTGATTTTCAATTACGGCAATAACAAACTGCTGCAGAAAACCCCACAAACTTATTGTCTTAAAATTCTATAGGTTAGAACAAGGGTCCCCACACCTTGAACCACAGACCAGTACCAGTCTGTGGCCTGCTAGGAACCACGTCGCACAGCAAGAGGTAAGTGGTAGGTGAGTGAGAGAAGCGTCTTCTGTATTTACAGCAGCTCCCCATTGCTCGCATTCCCACCCGAGCTTTGCCTCCTGTCAGATCAGTGGCAGCATTAGATTCTCATGGGAGCATAAACCCTATTGTGAACAGCGCATGCGTGGGATCTAGGTTGTGTGCTCCTTATGAGAATCTAATGCCAGATGATCTGTCAGTGTCTCCCATCACCCCCAGATGGGACTGTCTAGCTGCAGGAAAACAAGCTCAGGACTCCCACTGATTCTACATGATGGTGACTTGTATAGTTATTTCATTATCTATTACAATGTAATCATAATAGAAATAAAGTGCACATTTAATGTAACGTGCTTAAACCATTCCGAACCCTCCCTGTCTCCCAGTCTGTGGAAAAACTGTCTTCCACAAAACGGGTCCCTGGTGCCAAAAAGGTTGGGGACCACTGGATTAGGAGTTGATATAGTTTGGATTTGTGTCCCCGCACAAATCTCATGTCGAATTGTAATCTCCGTTGTTGGAGATGGGGCCTGGTGGGAGGTCATTGGATCATGGGGGCGAAGTTCTCATGAATGGTATAGGACCATCCCTTTGGTGCTGTTCTTGCAATAATGAGAGTTTTCACGACACCTAGCTCTTTAAAAGTGTGCAGCTCTGGCCAGGCGTGGTGGCCCAGCACTTTGGGAGGCCAAGGTAGGCAGATCACCTGAGGTCAGGAGTTGGAGACCAGCCTGGCCAACATGGTAAAACCCTGTCTCTACTAAAAATACAAAAAGTAGCCGGGTGTGGTTGTGCGTGCCTGTAATCCCACTACTCGGGAGGCTGAGGCAGGAGAGTCACTTGAACCCAGGGGGCGAAGGTTGCAGTGAGCCGAGATTGCGCCACTGCACTCCAGCTTGGGCGATTGAGTGAGAATCCGTCTCAAAAAAATTAAATAAGACCAGGCATGGTGGCTCACGTCTGTAATCCCAGCACTTTTGGGGGGGCTGAGGCAGGCAGATCACGACGTCAGGAGTTTGAGACCAGCCTGGCCAACACGGTGAAAACCTGTCTCTACTAAAAATTAGCTGGGCGTGGTGGTGCATGCCTATAATCCCAGTTAATCAGGAAGCTGAGGCAGGAGAATCACTTGAACTCGGGAAGTGGAGGTTGCAGTGAGCCGAGGTCGCGCCACTGTACCCCAGCCTGGGCGACAGAGGGAGACTCCGTCTCAAAAAAAAATAGAGAAATAAAATAATAATAATAAAATTATGTAGCTCCTCCCCTCCTCTCTTGGTCCTGCTCCCCCTTGCCTTCCACCATGAGTAGAAGATCCCTGAAGCCTCCCCAGAAGCAGATGCTGCCATGCTTCCTCTAGAGCCTGTGGAACTGTAAGCTAATTAAACCACCTTTCTTTATAAATTACCTAGTCTCAGGTACTTCTTTTTTTCTTTTTACTTTTTTTTTTGTGAGTGTGTGTGTCACCCAGGCTGGAGTGCAGTGGCGCAATCTCAGGTCACTGCAAACTCCGCCTCCTGGGCTCAAACAGTTCTCCTGCCTCAGCCTCCCCAGTAGCTGGAATTTCAGGCGTGCACCACCAGGCCCAGCTAATTTTTTTTTGGATTTTTTTTTTTTTTAGTAGAGACGGGGTTTCACCATGTTGGCCACGCTGGTCTTAAACTCTTGACCTTGTGATCTGCCCGCCTCAGCCTCCCAACATGCTGGGATTACAGATGTGAGCCACTGCGCCTGGCCTTAGGTATTTCTTTATAGAAGTGTGAGAATGGACTAATACAGAAGTCTTACATGAGTCTCACTGGGCTAAAATCAAGGTGTTGGTAGGGCTGCAGTCCTTTCTGGAAGCTTCAGAGGAGAATCTGTTTTTTTCTTTTTCCAACTTCTAGTGGTTACCTATACTCCTTGGCTTATGGTCCCTTCCTCTGCCATCAAAGGCAGGAACATTGCATCTCTCAGACCATTCTTCCCTAGCCACACCTCCCTTGGGTTCTGACATTAGCCGAGAATGATTCTATGCTTTTAATGACCCCTGTGATTAAGTCGATACCATCTAGAAAATCCAGGATAATCTTTGCTTTTCATCTCAAGGCCCATTCCCTTAATTGTCATGGCGATCAGCTACTATCCAGGGCCAGAGGTGTAGACAGTAAATAGAACTTTTACTTGGCTCGCTGCAACCTTTGCCTCCCAGGCTCAAGTGGTTCTCCTACCTCAGCCTCCTGAGTAGCTGGGATTACGGGTGCCTGCCACCATGCCTGGCTAATTTCTGTATTTTTAGTAGAGACAGGGTTTCACCATGTTGGCCAGGCTGGTCTTGAACTCCTGGACTCAAGTGATCCACCCTTCCGAACACCTTGGCCTTCTGAAATGATGGGATGACAGGCGTGAGCCACCACACCCGGCCTAGTGGGTACCATTTGAACACCCAGCTAACTCCCTACTCTAAGTCACACCTGAGCCATTTTATCATGGGGGCTGTCAGAGGCACTGCTCTTCTCCACTGAAACCCATACCCAATCCCTAGGCCTTATGTGCTTTTCCCCTCACGCACTTCAAAGGCCCATGACTTTGGGACGCGTCTCTACCTCATTAGTCATTCCCTCTTCTGCCCCATCACGTGGAAACACAATACATTGTAGTTATTTACACAATACATTGTAGTTATTTATGTCCAGAGCTGGTTCCCCAACTAGGCTGTCAGCTAGCCAGTGCAGAGGGTGTGTATTAGTCACATTTGTATCATCAGTCCCCGATGGGCCATGGCCACATATTTGTTGAGTGAATAATACAAGGATCATCTTTAGCATTTCTTTGTGGGATCCAGTCTCCTCAATGAAGGTACGGGGAATTCTCCACACTAACCAGGCCAGCTGGGTCTGGGTGGCATTTTATGTGCTTTTTGTTGTTGTTGTTGTTGTTGTTTACCGATGGAGTCTCGCTCTTTCGCCCAGGCTGGAGTGCAGTGGTGCAATCTGCAACCTCCTCCTCCCGGGTTTGGGCGATTCTCCTCCTGAGTAGCTGGGATTACAGGCGCGAGCCACCACGCTGGTTAATTTCTTTCTTTTTTTTTTTTTGGTAAAGATGCGGTTTTGCCACATTGCCCAGGCTGGTCTCAAACTGGGCTCAAGCTATCCACCTGCCTTCATCTTCCAAAGTGCTGGGATAACAGGTGTGGGCCACCACGCTCAGCAGAGTAAAAAATGTTTAACAGCTTTATTAATGTAGGATTCATATGACATACAATTTGCCATTTAAAGTGTACAATTCAATGTTTTCAGTGTATTCACAGGGTTGTGAAACCACCATCACCATCCATAATACTTTTAGGACATTTTTGTTTCCCAAAGAGAAACTCTGTATCTATTAGCAGTCACTGCCCATCCCTGCCCCTAACCGCTCTCCTAGCCTTCTTTCTGTATCTGTAGATTGGCCTCTTCCTGGACATTCTATATAAAGTGAATCATACAGTATGTTTTCTTTTTTTCTTTTTCTTTTTTTTTTTTTTTTGAGAAGGAGTCTTGCTCTGTTACCCAGGCTGGAGTGCAGTGGCGTGATCTCAGCTCACCACAACCTCCACCTCCCGGGTTCAAGCAATTTTCCTGCCTCAGCCTCCTGAGTATCTAGGATTACAGGCGCCTGCCACCATGGCTGGCTAATTGTTGTATTTTTAGCAGAGACGAGGTTTCCCTATGTTGGCCAGGCAGGTCTTGAACTCCTGACCTTGTGATCTGTCTGCCTTGGCCTCCCAAAGTGCTGGGGTTACAGGTGTGAGCCACTGTGCCTGGCAATTTTTGTATTTTCAGTAGAGACGGGGTTTCACCATGTTGGCCAGGCTGGTCTTGAACTCCTGACCTCAGATGATCCACCCACCTCGGCCTCCTGAAGTGCTGGCATTACAGGCATTAGCCACCCGGCCAGGTGATATGTATTATTTTGTGTCTGGTGTCTTTCAATCATTAATAGCATCATGTTTTGGGAGGTTATCCATGTTGTAGCATGTTATCTATTGATCTATTTATATGTTATATGCATTTTTTGCAACAAGGTCTCTCACTCTGTAGGCTGGAGTGCAGTGGTGTGATCATAGCTCCTACAGCCTTGACCTCCTGACTTAAGTGATTCTCCCGCCTCAGCCTCCCCAGTAACTGAGACTACCGGTGCTCACCACCACACACCAGGCTAACTTTTCATAGAGAGGGGGTCTGGCTATGTTGCCCAGGCTGGTCTGGAACTCCTGGTCTCAAAAACTCCTCCTGCCTCTGCCTCCCAAAGTATTGGGACCAAGCCTGGCCTCCTTTTTATTTTTAAGTAGTTTTCCATTGTATAAATGTAGCACATTTTATTCATCTACTCATCAGTCTCTAGTTAATGCATCCCTTGTATTTCTTCAGATTGACTGGGGTTCAGTATCCACTGGACAAGTTCCTAGGTGAGTGACTTTTGGCAAATCATAATCTCTCCAAGTCTGCCTCGGTTTCTTCAATTGTAAAATGTCAATAATAATGGAATCTACTTCATAGAGAGTCATGGTTGTATTGCCACAGTAATTAATAAAGTGCCAGGCACATTATAAGGATTATCCGACACATTTATTATTTACAAAGTAGGGAACAGAGGCTATTGTGGTGGCTCACACCTGTAATCCCAGCACTTTGGGAGGCGGAGGTGCGAGGATCACTTGAGGCTAGGAGTGCAAGACCAGCCTGTGCAACATAGAGACTCTCCCATCATTACAAAAAAAAAAAAAAAAAAATTCTAGCTGACCCTTTGGACAATAATTTTTTTTCCCCCTAGAAAATTAGCCAGATGGGGCCGGACGTGGTGGCTCACACCTGTAATCCCAGCACTTTGGGAGCCCGAGGCGAGTGGATCACGAGGTCAGCAGATCGAGACCATCCTGGCTAATACGGTAAAACCCCGTCTCTATTTAAAAAAAAAAAAAGGCCGGGCGTGGTGGCGAGCCCCTGTAGTCCCAGCTACTTGGGAGGCTGAGGCAGGAGAATGACGTGAACCTGGGAGGCGGAGCTTGCAGTGAGCCGAGATCACGCCACTGCACTGCAGCCTGGGCACGGTGGCTCACGCCTGTAATCCCATGACTTTGGGAGGCTGAGGCAGGTGGATCATGAGGTCAGGAGGTCAAGACCAGTCTGGCCAAGATGGTGAAACACCGTCTCTACTAAAAACTACAAAAATTAGCTGGTGGCAGGTGCCTGTAATCCCAGCTACTTGGGAGCCTGAGGCAGGGAATTGCTTGAACCCGGGAGGCAGAGGCTGCAGTGAAGCGAGATCGCGCTACTGCACTCCCGCCAGCCGACAGAGCAAGACTCCGTCTCAAAACAAAAACAAAGAAACAAGCAAACAAATAATAGAAAACACGAGAGAATCCTGTCCGCAAACGCTTAGCAGTCTGAAGTCGGCCTGGGCAAAGGATACTGGAACACTCCCCTACCCGCCCCGCCGAGAATGGGGAACCGGCGGCGCCAGGTTGTGAGTCCGCCAAGCTCCCGGCAGGCTGCGCGGCGCTCCTGGCGTGCACCTTGGCGTGCGGAGCTGGCACCTTGGCGCCGTGGGCGGCGGCGGGGACAGCTGTAGAGTGTGAAGTTCCTTGTCTGCTGGCAGCCAGAGGCGACGAGTCTGGATGTCATGGAAGTGTAAGTCTCCTCGGGCGCGTCCCTTTTGGGCCGAGGAGCCTAACGGTTGGACCGCTGAGAGCTGAGAGCCGAGAGCCTTGGGGACTGGGCGACCGTCGTTCGGGAGTGAAGGCCGGCCCTGTCCGGGAGGGTCCCCGGGTGGGGACGGGGTGAACTGGACTCTCGCTTTGCCCCTCCGAACTTTCGCTTCCCCTCCACACCCTGTGTCTGGGGTGCGGGGCCGAGCACCTCCGTGTCCAGCTGCCTTTCAATGTGCCCCCTCCTTCTCTCATTCATTTACCAGCATCTTTGGGTCACAGTGCGGGGATGGAGCCCAGCCTGGTATCCGAGACGGGACTTAGAAGGCTATAAAGGCCTGAGTCTGTCCGCCCTGAAAGTAGCTGGAGAAGAGACGAATCAGGGCCGGGTAGAGCTCTGCTTTCCTCACTGGGCCCTGGGGAGCCCTTACTCAGAAGAGCTGCTCTCAGAGTTTGATGGGAGCAGTCAACACTGTGAGGGAAACGGTGAGTTTTTGGGTGGAGAAGGGAAGGATGTGAGCCAGGACTGGGACCAGAGAAACAGCACGGGGTGTGTGGGTGTGTGCAGGCGAGGGTAAAAGATTTTCTGACAATTTAACTCCACGTGGTCTTTTCCATGGTTGTTCCTTGCGCCTCGTGCAAATGGAAGTTTTTGCATCTACTCTGAATGTGGGCTTTATATGAGTGATATTAACTTGTAGATATTATCTCTCTTGTGTTCCCTGTGAACTGATTGATAGAGTTTCCTTCACATCCTCTTGCCTCATGTTTAATGGTTATATGTACTATGGCATTTCAGATGTTTATATTTTTATTTAATTAATTTTGTTGTTTCTCAAGAAACAGAGTCTTGCTGTGTTCCCCAGGTGGGAGTGCAGTGTTGTAATCATGGTTCACTGCAGCCTCGACCTTCTGGACTCAAGCAATCCTGCTTCAGCCTCTCCAGTAGCTGGGACTACAGCCCCACACCATCACTCGCTGTTAATTTTTTTAAAAAAAGTTTTTGTAGACAGAGGGTCTCACTACAGCCCAGGCTCATCTCAAGTGATCCTAAGCTCAAGTGATCCTCCTGCCTTGTACTCCCAAAGTGCTGGGATTGCAGGCGTGAGCCACCTCACCTGGCTCCTTTTGATTTTTTTTTTTTTTTTTTGACTTAACACAATATGTCTGTGTAACTGAAATGAAAGGCTCATGAAACAATAATGTGTGGAGTATACTCTCATATTGTCTATTTTTTAATTAAAATGAAGGGGGCCAAGCGTGGTGGCTCATATCAGTAGTGCCAGCACTTTGGGAAGCTTAGGCAGGAGGATCACTTGAGCCTGGGAGGTGGAGACCAGCCTGGGCAACATAGGGAGACCCTGTCTCTGCAAAAAATTAAAAAGTTAGCTGGGTGTGGTGGTGCATGCCCGAAGTCTCAGCTACTTATGAGGCTGAGATGGGAGGATCGCTTGATCCCAGGAGGCTGCAATGAGCTGAGATCCAGCCAGTGCACTCCTGCCAGAGTGACAGAGCAAGACTGTCTAAAAAAAAGAAATATAAGTTGACCCACTGAATTAATTTTGCAACCTACTGATGGGATTTCATCTGCAACCTCAAAAACTATTAATATATTTTATTCTAGTACAAGCCATCATTACTAATTTTTCCCTATTTTCTAAAGCATTTCCTGTGAGCATACAATCCTGCTTTAGTGTATTCATCTTTTTTGAGATGGAGTCTTGCTCTGTTGCCAGGCTGGAGTGCAGTAGCACCATCTTGCCTCACTGCAACCTCCGCCTCCTGGGTTCAAGCAATTTTCCTGCCTCAGCCTCCCGAGTAGCTGGGACTACAGGTGCACGCCACCACACCCGGCTAAATTTTTCTTTTTGGGATTTTAGTAGAGATGGGGTTTTACCATGTTGCCCAGGCTGGTCTCGAACTCTTGAGCTCAGGCAATCCACGCAGCTCAGCCTCTCAAAGTGCTAGGATTACAGGCCTGAGCCACCGCGCCTGGCCGCATGTCCACCTCTTACTCCATTTCTGCTTCCCATCCCAACAAAACTTCTTGAAAGTGCTGATTAGCCCCTCTTTCTCTCAACCATTCTGTTGGGCTTTCTTCCTCACTGGTCTACAGAAATGAATGTTAAGATTACCTGATCCAGGGGGCGTGGTGGCTCACAGGAGAATGACGTGAACCTGGGAGGCGGAGCTTGCAGTGAGCCGAGATCGCGCCATTGCACTCCAGCCTGGGCGACTAAGCGAGACTCTGTCTCAAAAAAAAAAAAAAAAAAAAAAAAGATTACCTGATCCAGGGGGCGTGGTGGCTCACACCTGTAATCCCAGCACTTTAAGAGGCCAAGATGGGCGAATTGCCTGAGGTCAGGAGTTTGAGACCAGTCTGGCCAACATGGCAAAAACTCGTGTCTACTAAAGATACAGAAATTAGCCGGGTGTGGTGGTGGACACCTGTAATCTCAGCTACTCAGGAGACTGAGGCAGGAAAATCACTTGAACTCGGGAGGCAGAGGTTGCAGAAAACCAAATTGTGCCACTGCACCCCAGCTTGGGTAACAGAGCAAGACTCTGTCCAAAAAAAAAAAAAACAAACCTATCCCTCCATTTTGTCAAATCCAGAGGTTGATTTTCTGGCCTCAACTTTTTTGATCTCTCAACAGTGGTTAATACAGAAACTCTAGAAACTTTCCTTTCTTCATGTTATATGTTCCTTTGTGATATTTCCTCCTACATCAAGGACTACTTCACAGTGTCCTTCCCTGGGTCCTGTTCCTCCCTTGCTGGATGTCTAAGTGTTGAGGTATCTTAGGTCTCACTCCTGGGACCCTTTCTCTCCACGCTCTGTCATTTAACCCATCTGTGTGCTGATGGTTCCCAAAGGTGTGTTTCTAGCCTCTTCTCATCATCTATCCAATTGCATAGACCAAAAATCTAGCCCTCTCTCCTCACTCCGTAAATCCAGTCCGTCAGTGGTCCTGTTGTCTCCACCCTAGAATGTATTTTGAATGCAGCTACTTTTCACCATCTCCACTGTCAGCTTTGTAGTCCATCACCTCTGGGCTGGATTAAGCAATAGCCTTTGAGTGTTCACTCTTCCCCAGCCTCCATTCTGTTCTCCACATGGCAACTGGAGTGATCTTAAGTAACGACTGGAACATGTCACTCCTGGGTAAAACCCTTCATTGACTTTCCATTGCACGTAGAGGAAATCTTCATCTCTTACCAGGACCTGCAAGACCCTCTAAAACCTCACCTACTCCCCAGCCTGACCACTTGCCACTCTCCCAACCTCCCAGACACACACTTTCCACTGACAGGTATTTCCTTCTCCTCTAACCTTCTAAGCACTTTCTGAGGACAATTGCATTGCGATACCCTCTGTCTGGTATACTTTCCTCCTCGCCCTCACCCTGTTCTCTTCTTTTTATTGTAATTTTTAAGTTTGTTTTTGAGATGGAGTCTCGCTCTGTCACCCAGGCTGGAGTCCAGTGGTGCAGTCTCGGCTCACTGCAGCCTCTGCCTTCTGGGTTCAAGGGATTCTCCTGCTTCAGCCTACTAAGTAGCTGGGATTACAGGTGTGTGCCACCATGCCCAGCTAATTTATGTATTTTTAGTAGAGACAGCGTTTCCATGTTGGCCAGACTGGTATTGAATTCCTGACCTCAGGTGATCTGCCTGCTGCTGGGATTACAGGCGTGAGCCACCACACCTGGCCACCTGTTCTCTTCTTGAAGGCTGTGTCCCTTTTCAAAGTCGCCTTTCCTCTTCAGTAAGTCTAACTAACGTAAGTTCTTTTTGTCTCTCATATCACCTTGATTTACTTTCCCTTAAATAATTACAAGTTGCAATGATAAATGTATGTTTACTTGTTTGGAGGGTGGGGACCATTGTGTGTTCACCTAATGCTTAGCATTGCATCTGGCACACAGTAGGCATTCAGCAAATACTTGTTCAATAAAGTAATATAACAATACTTTATTAGCTTCATAAATATAGTCATCGCTCCGTGTCTTTGGGGGATTGGTTTCTGAACCCCCTGCGTATACCAAAATTCACAGATGCTCAAGTTCCTTATATAAAACGGTGTAGTATTTGCATGTAATCTGTGCACATTCTCCCATATACTTTAAATCATCTCTAGATGACTTATTATGATACCGTGACCTGTAATGCCGGTTTTGGCCATGGTTCCTGGCTCATAACTGCCATAGTCCTTATTACTTCCTAAGTGACTAAAACAGTAAGCATAACTTTTGTTAAAGTATTCGTCCTTTGTCCCTGGTTCCTGAAGTGGCTTTGGAACAGCTTCAGAGCAGTAAAGGTGAAAGACAGTCTTTTTTTTTTTTTTTTTTTTGAGATGGAGTCTCGCTCTGTTGCCCAGGCTGGAGTGCAGTGGCTGGATCTCAGCTCACTGCAAGCTCCGCCTCCCGGGTTCACGCCATTCTCCTGCCTCAGCCTCCCGCGTAGCTGGGATTACAGGCGCCTGCCACCTCTCAACCTCCCAAAGTGCTGGGATTACAGGCTTGAGCCACCACGTCCGGCCGAAAGACAGTCTTTTGTTAGAATGTTGGGGTGCTCTAAGCCTCAGAAGCAGGCCTCAGAAAACAGAAGCTCTGTCTGTCTCTTGCCCTCTAATCATCCCCTGCCTTTCTGTCTTAGAGCTAGCCGTAAATAAATCTCTGACATATCTTGTCTAATTGTAGGTTATAAGACCCCTGTTTCAGAAGGGGTCCTGCCCCTTACCTGCGAGGAAGGAATACAGAGAGGCCAAGGAGAATCTGGACCGGCCTTGCTGGGTTTCTGCACTCAGTCTGCTAGTATTAGATCACACTCTTTATCCAGTCAAGTACTGTGAGGTTGGCCATGCTTCAATCATCTCTCTCCAGTGAAATCTCTACAAAACGCCCAAGAGAACTTCTGGATAGCCTAACAGATGGAAGTTTCTGGAGGGTGGTACGCCTGGGGAGGGCATAGAACTCTGCATCCCCTCTCCATCCCTCACCCTGTGCACCACTTCATCTGTATCCTTGGTAATATCCTTTATAATAAACCAGTTAAACCTAAGTGACTGTTCAAATTAATGAAGCCCAAAGAGGAGGTCCTGGGAACTGCAGCTTGAAGCCCGTCATTGAGAAGTTCTGGAGGCCCTGACTTGTGTGACTGGTGTCTGAAGTAGGGGTAGTCTTCTGGGACTGAGCCCTCAGCCGGTGGAATCCGACACTGTTTCCAGGTAGTTAGTGTCCGGATTGAATTGTATGGGAAGATACCCAGCTGGTGTTGGCTGCAGAGTTGACTGCCTGCTTATTGGTAGAGAGAAATCCCCACGCGTCTGGTCACAGAAGTCTTCTGTATAGATTGTTGTCAGGTAAGAGCAGAGGAAAAACTTTGATTCTCAACCAACTTGTCATACCTGATGCAATGTAAAGGCTGTGTAAATAGTTGTACTGTGTTGTCTAGGGAATAATGACAAAAAGCAGTCTGTCCATGTT